AACCGGAATATATTATATTAAATTATTGTAAATGTACAATGTCGAAACAAGACTGTTTTATCTTTTTATTCCATTATTTAAACAAAATAACTATAAATATATTTTAATATATTGTAAAATAAAAACGAAAATTATTTACAGTTAAGATTGCGTTAAACCTACATCCAGTCTAAAATTAAAATTCTAAACAAATATTACGAGTTTTAAACAAGACTATTCAAATAAAAGAAATGTAAATCTCTTTGTTAAATGTAAAAAAACAACCTTAACAATGTGTTATAGATATATCAAAAGACGTTATGAATCTGTTTGTTAATAATTAATCAAAAATAAATTAATAAAATCGTAATTTTCTTATATAGTAATATCCAAATGTCTCACTAGAAGTTTTTTTAATTTTGAACTTTCCTACAGATTTTTTGTTGGTAATAAAACGTGATTTTTATTTATGAATTATTTACATTAGAAAATTATTAAACAATGAATGATTTTTTGATATTTCATTATATCGTCACCTTCAGTAGACTTTAATGCGTGTGTATACCAAATTTCAATCAAATCCGTTAAAAATTGTCGAAGATACGATGATGATTTATGTTTTAAAACTAAATTAAATTTATAAATCAAAATTTCTCAGTTATTCGTGTTTAAAATATAAAATCTAATATTTGTCGTACTAAAAAAAGGCAAAGGAAAAAAGGTGCACCTTTTTTTCCTATAATATGGTAATTTTTAAAATCAAAATTTTGAATTTTATTTACTTTTTGGGCCGTAGATTGTCTTTTGAGCGAGCATTTTTTTTTAATTAAGCGACCTAATTTGTTCTAGAACATTTGTGCTTAATTAGTTCTAGAATTTTTAAGTAACGTTGTTACTGCAGCGTTCTAGAACAGTGTTACAAAAATGTAACATAATAGATCTCTCACTGTACTTTAGATTTGTTCTCTATCTCTTCTGAAACAAATAGGTAACGAACATATGTTTTATGAATGTGGTACTACTAGAGTGGCTCAAAACTGTTAAAAATAGAAATCCATAAAAATATTTAAAAAATCATTTCCGTGAAATATTCCCTTAATATCACTGGGAGAATACTCCTAATATCACTGAGATATCATCATGAAGTGGACATTTTGATCTCCATTATATATCACAGGAATATTCCAAAAAATATTCCAATGATATTTATGTGACATACCGTGCTATTTGAGCACGGTTACTTTTTTTAAGTTAGGTAAATTTTACTCAAATAAACTACAAATTACAAATCACAATTTTACTTTTATTAAACTGATACAAAAAAAGTTCTGTAATTCTAGAATATTGTTATGAATCGGTTACAGAATTTTTGTAGAACTAAAATTTTTAAAAATTTATTTTGTTATCAAATTTTTACATATTTGTTCTAGAACAATGATCTAGAACATTGTTCTAGAATTGTTACAGATCCTGTTACTGCTTTTTGCCTCCAGGAGGACGACATTTTTACTGACCATTTCCTCACCAGTTCTTGAACTTGTTCTTTTTTGTTATAGAACAGTTACAGAACTGTTCTGTAACTTTGCACACTGGGATACCACTGTTGAGGAGGCAGTACATGTGCGATAAAGCTTGTATGTTGTTTGCTTTGAAATATGTCGAGTATAGTCCAATAGCGTTCCATCAGTGTTAAATTAGTGGTCTAATTGATATATTTGCGACGACTTAAATTTCGAATAGATAATCAAAGACGTTGAATAGACTCTTGGATGTCATTTAGACGTCGATTAAACCACACATTTCTCGCTGGGAATAAACATTTCTCCGCTATAGACGTCTGTACACTGAGAGAAAAAGGCTGTCGTTTTAGCGGTAAGGTCATGCTATTTTGGCATAAGTTACACTGCTAACAGAAAACTGCTGTTTCAGTATTGGAATGCTGTCGTTTTAGCATTGTGATTTATTTATTTAAAAATCTGTATGTATAAATTTAAAATTATCATTAGCAACTTGCAGAATATTTTAAAACGAATCAATTGATATATTATTGAACCTTTTATTATAAAATATTACGAAGTTATTGATGTTAAAAATCCATTCGGCCGAAAGCCTTTAAGTTTCGCTTTAGCTTCCGTCCGTCCCACAGTGATTTGAAATCAAAAAGTAGGGTTCAAAACAGTCTAGAGCCTACAAATCGCAACCGATTTTGGAATTTTTTTTTAAATAATCTTTAATAAAATTATAAGAGATCCCTCGATCCCGATTTTTGATTTTCAATTTGCATAAATAATTATATTAATATAAACAAATAAAAAAACGTACTTTTTTACATATTACTCTTATTTAAAAAAAATATGTAAAGTTTTTATTGTTAGATATTTAAATTTACTCCTCTGGATCTCTGAATTGTATAATGATGATATAGACTCATTAGTAAATTATTATAAACAAATTATATAAACAAATTGTTAATTTGGGCAATGATTTCAATTAACTTAAATGAAATTGATTACTCGAGGGTTTTCAGGGTCGCTGATCACGAATTCGATGTCAGTTTTTCAAAATTCAAAATGGCGGATCCAATATGGCGGACAAAATTTTTAAAAATCGCTTAAATTCGCTTGAATCTGGTTACTCGGGGGTTTTTGGGATCGCTGACCACGAATTCGATGTCAGTTTTTCAAAATTCAAAATGGCGGATCCAATATCACGAACGAATTTTTAAAAATTCATTGGATTCGCTTAAAAAAGTTTTCTTAGAAGACATTTAAAATTTTTAAAAAGACTGACGTATAATTTATATACCGTAACAAAAAGACCTAAATAACAATTTTCAATCGAATTTAATTTTTACAAAATTGTCTACCTTATTGGATATGCTATTCGATTTTGATTTTTTGAAAAACTAACATCGAATTCGTGATCAGCGATGCCAAAAACCCCTGGGTCACTATTTTTATTAATATCGATCTAAAATTAAAATTTGTTTATATAATTTGTTTATAACAATTTATAATTTTTTCATATCTTTAATACAAATCTCGAAAGTTATAAATTTTTGAAAATTTATAATTATTTAATTTTTTCAAATTTAACTTCAATTTTATATTATTTATAATTAATATTCATGATTGTTATTAATTAACATTTAAAAAAATAACTTTTTTGTTATTTGTCATTAATTCATTGTAACGTAAATAATAAATTATTCAATAAATTTAAATCGTGCTAATTTTATTGATAGTTCTCAATTAATCGATTTCCCAACGCACTTCATTAATGAGAGAATTTATCGAAACTGAAACATCGACACCTTGCGGACGCGAGAAGAACTATATTCCTAAAACTATTTTAATACTATTTTAATAGTAACTTTTGATTTTAAGTTATTTCATTACTTTCTTTGCTGAAAAACTTAATAATTTTTTGTTTCTAAAGTAGAGCAAAAGAACATTGCCACTGCACTCGCTTGCTGCTCATTATACCCGGTGTTTACTTTATGTTTATTATGTGCTCTAACTTTCACTATAAACATTCTTTCACATGCGGACATTTTAATCCCAGTGGGCACACTTGCTGAAAAGACGTCCTGAGGCTGTCTTTTTGCGGACGTGTTTAATTTGTCCCTGTATGGTATATCTTAAAAACGTGAATAATATGTCTGAGGTACGTCTTAAAAAGGTCTAATGTTTGTTCATAAAGATGTCTTTTTCATGTCTAAAAGACGTCTTTTTCAGATTTTGAAAATAGACAATTTTTTATAAAAATAACTTTTATATTATATTTTCTAAGTTCAACGTAAACATCGAAACTGTTTAAGATAAATGTTATAAAAATTTCTTAAGTTCGATTCATTTCATTGACAAATAAGTTCGTAAACTTTGTAAAAGATTTTATCTGTCTCCGATGGCTCAGATACTTAACCCCTTCGATGTGAAGCAAAAATCGTGTTTCCGTGCCACCAGTGTGCAAAAAAAAAATTTTTTTTTTAAATCTTATATTACCATATTGTATGTTTTTATTAACATTAATATTATATTAAGTAAAACTATTTTATTTTTAAGATGCTGCTATAGCGGTCATGCACACTGGTGGCACGACTTATTTTTGCCTCTATAGAGGTCAGTAACAGTGAAGGGGTTAAGGCGTAGAGTTTGAACCCAACGTATCGCGGGTTCGATCCCAGGTCCGGGTGGATTTATTCATGCCTGATTTCTGTATAAACGTGTACAAATAAAACAAAAATCAAAATAAAGTCAAAATTTAAGTAAGACAATAAATAATTAATGTGTTTTAATTTAAAAAATATTCTGAAAAAAAAATTCTAAGTCTTAAAGACGTCTTTCAGACGTTCTTTTCGGATGTCTTTTAGACGTATTCTGGCCTGACATAGAACGTCTTAAAGCAGTCCTTTGTATGTCTTTATGATGTCTTCGAGACATTATCATCAAAGTCCCAGGATGTCCGCGGACAAAAAAAGACGTCTTTTAGACGTCTCGGTGCCCACTGGGATAATCAAACAATCTTTTTTAAACCTGGAGATTCAATACACCGCAGTTAACGTTTAAACTTTCAATGAATCTTTGGGGAATTTTCGATACTGTATAGGAATTCACATGAGATCCCATGTGGATTACTATTCTTACTATTTTTTTGGCATATTATTTTTGTCAATTTCCTACATCAATTATTTCCTTAATAATAAACAATATCAAATCTTACAAAAAAATATCATATAAAATTCTAAAGATTTCCTTATATAAAATCTTACATAAAAATATTAAAGAAAGAATAAAGAACAAATTGTGTTTATGTGAGTTTGTTTTATTTAGCGTTGTGAAAGCATGCGAATAAAATAATAAACTTTACAAAGTGTGTATAATACGAAAGAAAAAATTTTTTAATACAGAACAAATAAAAATCAATTATAAACACGTAAGACTCAATTAAAATTGATCAGTGAATGTTAACAATGTGTAAAACAAGAATAAAAACACAATATCAAGAAACTTGTAACCTACTGAATTCCAACGATTCCACATGCCAAGCGGTCTCCAGCATCGCCTGTTTCCAATGATAATGAAGTGTTTCCCTTTCCTAGATCATCTTCTTTTTCGTGAACAACAAATGCTCGACCAAGAACATTGTTTGGTCCACTTAGAGATATTATCGAATCAGTAATGTTTATGACTGCCTCCCCTTCTTTGTTTGCAATTACGTTACCAAGATCTCCAACATGCCGTACCTTATCGTCAGGTGCTCCATGATTAACCTGTTTTTTAATTGTTTATATCATTATTACCATTAAAAAATCACAACTACAAATTCAGTTTTTTACCCAATAATTAATGATAATAAGGGAAGCATGAATATTTTCTTCATTATACTTGCCGGAAGTTTTGCTGTGTCGAATTAAAAATTATCGACTTTACATTTAGTAGAATTTTAAAAAAGTAGATTTTAATGAATCTAATTTTAATATCGAAAAATTTCTATTTAACAAAATTCTAATTTTGTAGAATTTCTAATTAACTGAACTGTGATAAAGCACATTTTCCAATATATCGAATTTTCAAATAACACAATTTTCATTTAACAAATTTTATATCTAGAAAAATTTTCATAAAAAAGATAATTCTTATTTATCAGCATTTTTCTTTTATTAAATTTCTATTTATCCGACTATTCACTTAAAAGTATTTTTATTAACATAATTTCCAATTAAAAGAATGTCTATATAACAAAATTCTTATTTAACAAAACTTTTATTAAAAAAATTTCTATACAATCTAATTTTTCATTAATAGAATTGTCATTTAACAGAAATTCTACTTAGCTAAATTTTTAAGACAGAATTTCAAATTCAACGTTACTTTATTTGACCGAATTTTCACTTATTCAAATTTTCATTAGAAATTATGTTAATAAAAATACTTTTAAGTGAATAGTCGGATAAATAGAAATTTAATAAAAGAAAAATTCTGATAAATAAGAATTATCTTTTTTATGAAAATTTTTCTAGATATAAAATTTGTTAAATGAAAATTGTGTTATTTGAAAATTCGATATATTGGAAAATCTGCTTTATCACAGTTCAGTTAAATAGACATTCTACAAAATCAGAATTTTGTTAAATAGAAATTTTTCGATATTAAAATTGTGCTCACTATAAAATCTACTTTTTTAAAATTCTACTAAATGTAAATTTAATAATTTTTAATTCGACATCACAAAAATTCCGGCAAATCTAATGAAGGGAATATTCATGCGTCCTGATGAGAGTAATAATAATAATTAGTGTACTAAATTAACTAGATTAACTCTCGTCCAATTTAACTTTTATTTTTTATTATTCTAAAGGTATTAAGAATTAACGTATTTAGAGACAAGGATTGAAGCTACTTATAATATAAGTATACATATTATGTATATTTGGTTGTGTGACTGATTTCTTATCCAGTCTTCGGGTATTTAAAAATACCATTGTTACACTAACATAATAAAAGACATGTTTTTAAAATTTTATTTTATTAATCAACTTACTTTTTCAGGATTAAAGTGTTTGCCAGTAGAAATGCAGCCTTTAGATATATCTCCTTTTTCATGGACATGGAAACCGTGAGAACCAGGAGAAAGACCATAAATTGAGCCAGTTATTATGACAGGCCCATTTTTTCCATCTTGAACGATAAGTAGGTTTCCAGTAACATTATTTTTTTGCACATTATTGGGTACCATTTTTACCACAGCTCTTAATTCCTGTAAGTTTTTTTAAAAAAATATGTAATTTTACAAACAAAAAGTGAATTTTTCATGACATTACAAGTAGAATGATTTTTATTTCCTATTTTCAAAAAAATCTACTTTAACAACTTTTTGTACGAAAAAATGAACTAAAACATTTGTTTTTAAATGATACCCAAGTAGCACGGAATATTGGTTGAACGTAACGGTGATATCAAGTGGGAATATTCCTGAGACATTCAAGCGATATTATAATGTCCGCTTCACGGGTACATTCCACGGTGATATTCCTGTGACATTCATGTAATATTCGCATGAAATTGAGGTAATATTCCCGTGAAATTTGTGTGATATTGAGGGGATATCCCTGTGATATTAAGAGTAATATTCCTGTGATATTGAGGAAATATTCCTCTGATGTTGAGGGAATATTCCAGTGATATTGATGTGATAATTTATAAAATTCTAAAAAAAAAATTTTCTATTTTTTTTGCATTTATTTATTTCTTTATTTAAATATTCAAAACAAACAACATTTTAGAATTTTATAAATTACAGGAATATTTTCTCAATATCACAAGGATATTCCCTCAATATCACAGGAATATTCCGCTCAATATCAGGGATATCCCCTCAATATTACATGAATTTCACGGGAATATTCCTTAGTATCATACGAATATTACACGAATGTCACAAGAATATCACCGTGGAATGTCTCCATAAAGCGGATATTATGATGTTGCCTGAATGTCACAAGAATATTCCCGCTTGATATCAACTTGACATTCAACCAATATTCCGTGCTTCTTGGTTAGCGTGTTGGGAATTTCTAGAGATAGCAGGGTATTTTTTCTATCACGATTCAATAAAAGTGAAAGTGCATATACTTTTGACCTTATTGCTCGTTATTAGATTTGTCAAGGATCACGCCACCCCTCTTGTGCATATAGCCAATGACTCAGACGTAACTCTTTTGTGGTTGTTATAATTAAAATTAAAGTTCTTTTTTTTGAACCCGTCATTTCTCTTTTTATATAGAAGAACGAATTACACAGGTCTACAAGGTATTCATATTAAGAAAGTATATAGAAGTCTCTAGCACGTCAGGTGAAGCAGAAAAAAATACTAAAAACCCTCAAACACTCATTTTTTGGGGACTTTACCCCAATTTTTTAAAAAAAATTTTTGTCTCGCGCATACAAGTCTTACAGTGTACAATTTAAGCTTTAATTTAAGCCCATATAGAAGTGTCTAGCACGTCGGGTTAAAGAGAAAAAAAAATAATGAAAAACCTGAAAAACACTATTTTTGGAGACTTTACCCCCACTTTACTCAAAATCCTGACGTGATACGCAAGTTTGGAACCCGTGTTACTTTTATTTAAATTATCAAATTACACCTTACTAAGTGAAAATATTCAACAAGTCTGCCGTCGAAAGTAAAAAGATACGTCCGTGTTGTATATTTCAAATGGACGGACGTATCTTATTAATTATTTGGACAGCAGAATTAAGAGAAGACGGGATAAAAAGATAAAAGAATAATTTAAATATGTTTTATCATAATACTCATTACTCATTGATTTTTATTATTTTGTCATTTGATAATTTTTTTTGTCATGTTATATATATGGGGTAAAATTCCTGTAGCGTACTTAGTAAAAAAAAGTTGATCGGATCGGGCTGTAACTTGCACATAGTTTAAACAGAAAGATGAAAAAAATTTGACCTACATGTTTTCGAAAAGTTTTTTGCTGCTGTTATGTAGCTTATACCAATAACTAATAAAGTTTAGTGTATTTATGATATTCCAACTTTGTTGGATTCAGTACTAAGTTATAAAAAGATGTCGCTAAGTCGGGTTTTCAAAATTTTGTCACTTTTTATTAAATAATAAAAATTATTCTTTAAAAAGTGCTAATATTTGAAAACCTTTCAAAGTTTAGGTATTATTTATATGGATTTAAAAAGATAAAATTTTAGTACCAAGGGTGAATTTCTATATCTACTTAAAGGATCGCAATCCTAATCCTGTCATAAAGTACCCTTATTTAGGTACCACTCTTACGGCACATCAGAATCATAAAACATTTTAAACTCAAAATATGTTTGCAAAGACAGTTGTCATTTCGTCAGCACCAAACACAGATCCAAATAAATATACATTTAAACAGAGCAAAAAAAGAAAGAAAAGAGGCTGAGAAAATCGAGGGTGAAAAGAGGGAAAAATTTCGACTCGGGTTATGACTCCTTTAACAGAAATTCACTTGAATTTTTGATTTTTGTCAATTTGGTTAATAATGACAAGCTGTCCCCATTTACCCCAAAAATTTGAAAACTCAGGGTAAATGGGGACAGCTTGTTATTATTAACCAAATAGACAAAAATAAAAAATTCAAGTGAATTTCTGTTATGGGAGTCATAAGGAATAAGAAAAAAATTTGGTACGATTTTTAAGTATGTTTTTTTCAAATGCGAAACAAAATACTGAAATAAAAAAATATAGGGCAGAGTAATCAGGGTTGGACATTGGTCATGGTTGAGCCATTGCGTTTATTTTGTTTTACCATACTAGATCCATCTTTCTTTGCATGTAAGTATTTGTTAGCAATGTCAGCGAACTTTTCACATACGTTGTAGAGAAGTGTGCGAACAATAAAGACGTATTATGCAAGTCAGTGCTGTACGCTCAACAAAAAACTTTTTTCTTGTTTCAAATGAAGACAATTGAGTGCAGAAAAAATATGTCAAAGACAAAGTAACTTGACTAAAATTGTTCATTAAGATGTTATATGAAAATGTGGAACGTAATATGGTGTTTGGATCACGCGTTTATTTTTGTGCGTGATGTGACGCTAAACTACGCGTGAGTCAGGGTTGAGCCACCAAAAAATTTTGCAATTATGAAGGGTTCTTGAAATGGAAATTCATTTGTCGACTTAAAGAGGTGTCAAAAACTTCATTTCCATTAGAATGAAAGGAAATACAAATTTTTGATAATTTTTTTTTCACTTTTCAGACCAGCTTTGCGATACAAGCGAAAATCTGAAAAGCACATAATAAGGGATTTTTATTCCATTTTCTTGGTTCCTTTACACATTTCTAAGTGTATTTGAATGCCATTCTATCATTTGAAGGTCATTATTAATCATTTATCTGCATATTTCATTGATTTTCTACAGTGGCTCAACCCTGACTACTTTTTTTTTTTAATTGACTATAACTCCGAAACTTTTGGTCAAATATTTTTACAATGTTCAGCAAAAACATTAGATTATAGTAGATCTTTCGAACAATATGCAAGAAATCTCAAAATTCGGCTTACAGCGGAAGTTATAGAGAAAAGTCAAAACTATGTCCAACCCTGACTACACTCCCCTAAAAAAAAAAAAAATTTCAATTGGTTCAACTATTATATATCTACTACAAATTTTTTTCAAGTTTTTTCATCCCTTAATACAGAAATATACTTAAGTAAACTTTTTTCTGAAAACTTTCTTAGAAACTGTGCTGTCCCCATTTACCCCAAATTTTATGAAATTTTATAAATTTTGGGGTAAATGGGGACAGTCAGTTTCATACGTTTAAAGCTTATCTAAATTTTTTTCTGCTGCATAAAATTAATCCTGGGAACGTAAATAACAACTTAAAAAAAATAAACCCTCAAATATTACCTTTTAATGGAAGAAACTTACGTAATTTGTGAAAAATATCGATTTTGTCCCCATTTACCCCAACTGACCCTACACCTTTTTTAATTTTGAAAATTTAACATCAGACTTGACATCAGCGACTCCAAAGACCCGTAAATACTAAATTTTATAAAAAATTAATAACTTTTTAAAATTTTGACCGCCATATAGGATCCGCCATTTTGAATTTTGAAAATCTGACATCATATAATTAATCAGCGACCCCAAAAACCCCTGATACCAAGTTTTATAAAAAAATAATAATTTTTAAAAGATATCTTGTCACTTTTTATTTAGGAGTTGTTTTCACCTCTAAAAACCACAAACGACTTGATCTAGCAAAACGGCCAGACACGGGTAATTTTTTTTTTGGTCCTAGTTTCCAAAAATGTTGGATTTTTTTGTGGTTCAAAAAAAAGTTGAATTTTATCGGTTGGTGATATCTCAAAAATAACAAAAAAGAACATCTCAATATTTTTTGTCGTGAAAATACCCATTTTTAACTTTCAAAAAAAAAAAAAAATAAATAAAAATGACCGAACTTAAAAAAAAGTCAAAATTATTTTTGATTTTCAAAAAAGGGTCAAATTTTGAATTTCTTGAAATTTTTTTTGCGCCATTCGAAAGAGCAGGAAAAAACCTTTCGAAAACATATAGGTCAAATTTTTTTTCATCTTTCTGTTTGAAAGTTACAAGTCTTCAGAAATTTACTGTTTAAATTTTTTAAAAAAGTTCAAACCCCCTCCCTCTCCGACAGTTTTTGAAAAATCCTAACATTACTTCATGGTTAAAGTACTCAACCCTAGGGCTAAACTATGTGCAAGTTACATCCCGATCCAATCAACTTTATTTTCACTCAGTACGCTACAGGAATTTTACCCCATATATATTTGTTTCCAAAGTTCTTTATGTATATATTTGTGTGTATGTGTATTGTAACGTGACCATCCGTCACGGATTTCGCGAGACAGTCATTTCCCGCAAAAAATAAGAATTTTTTGTGTTCACACTTTTTGAAAGTTATATAACACTCTATCACTTTATGTTTTCAAGAAAATTGACTTTGAAAATTGAAAAAATGCCGTTTTTAGGAGCCTTTTTTATTTTCTATAATAGAACAACAAAATTTTATGGAGTTTTCGTGATATACATTTGAAAGCTCATATTTTCCTGAACAATTTTCAGTTTAAAACTTTTAAAAATGTTTATTTTTGTATGAGATATCCTTGTTTGAAAAAAAATTGATAGGTTTCGTTGAAACTTGTCTCTCGGGGATTCCAGGGTCTAAATAGGCTTAAATTAAATTTTAAATAGTAAATTTTAAGACCCATATACACAAGATAAAAAATTTCAAATTTGGTAAAAATATGGTGAATACCCCAAAAAACATGGTTTTGATAGTTTTTAGTATTTTTTTCTTCTTAACCTGACGAACTAGAGACTTCTTTATAGACTTAAATTAAATCTTGAATAGTACACTTTAAGACCAATATACGCAAGATAAAAAAAATTACAATTTGGAAAAAACCCTATATTTTTCCAAATTTTTTTATCTTGCGAATATGGGTCTTAAAATTTACTATTTAAAATTTAAATATAGACCCTGGAATCCCCGAGAGCCAAGTTTCAACGGAACCTATCAATTTTTTCAAACGCAAATTTCAATCAAGGATATCTCATACAAAAATAAATATTTTTAAATGCTCTAAATTGCAAATTATTCATGGAGATATCAGCTTTCAAATGCATATCACAAAAACTCCATAATAAATTTTTGTGCCGTTATAAAATATGAAAAAGTACCCTAAAAAGGCATTTCTTCAATTTTCAAGGTTAAATTTCTTGAAATCCTAGGGTGATGGAGCAATTTTGAGTTCGGATTCGTGTTCAGCGTCAAAAACCTGTCAGAATCACCTTATGCGATTCCAGAAATAAAAATGCAGTTGTACTGTGTAATAGTAACTACATAGGAATGAGAACGAATTTTTTAGAAAAATTCATTCGTCAGAAAAATATATGAAATGATGATGGTTATGTAGTCTAACTGTCCAGATACTTTTTTTTTGCGTACCAAGATAAAAATTCAGGTGTCCCGCATTACGGCTTTGAGGATATGGTTACGTTAGTGTATTGAATAGTGTGACTAAGACGCGTCTTTGGTTTAATATTTAATTTTGTGACTTACCGGATCAATACTGCCCTACAACGGAAAAACACATATAAGTGATACGTATTTACATGTCATTTATTTGTGTTTTTTCTTTATAGGGCTGAATATACATTTTAACCATTATTGTAACTGTAATATTTATTTGCTTTATTTAAAATAATTTAATGAAATTTGTTTAGATTAATGTTATAACATCCAGTCTAGTAACTGGACAGAAAATCTGACAAGTGACTGGTTAAAAATGTAACGCGCTCCTTTTGCAGTCACTGGTCAGATTTGTTGTCCAGTGACTGGCAAGTATCTGGACAGTAACTGGACAGTTTTCTGATCATAATCTATAATAATATATAATTTTTCCTCGCGTTTGTTACTTTATTAATAATTATTTTTTGATTTATATTTTTGTGTTTATTTAAATATTCAAGTCTAATAAACAATTACTCTGCCAATAACACTTTAATCTAAGAATGAAAAATTCGAACGCCCATGGAGACACAACGCAGCCACGGTATGTAGATGATAATTTATCATAACTACTAGTTAAAGAATCGAAGTTCTTATTCCGATTGTGAAAAGAATTTCCGGCCAGTGACTTGTCAAAAGTAATGATCAGAAATCATGACCAGAAAAACTTTTCAGTCACTTGACAGTAACTTGACTTTTCTTATGCGACACTCCATTTGAAACGATCATAGTAATTTTTTAATTCAAAATACAAAAAATTTTATATTAATTAGTAGGAGAGAGTGGGGCAAAACCGGGTACCTTTTTGGAATTCTCGGTTTACAAAGAATCTATCCAATAAATTAGTTCAGATGTCGTAGAAAATTCTTCCTTAAACATTAGAGAATGAGAAAATAAGGTCGATTGCATGAAAAAAAAATTTTTGATCAATTTAAACCAGGTTTTTCAAAAAAATGCAAAGTACCCGATTTTGCCCCGATGGTGGGGCAAAACCGGGTACTATCAAGAAAATATATAAATAATGGAATATTCTTTAAATTTTTGTTCAATTATTATTATATATCACTTAAATTATAGAAAATAATTAATATTCAATAAATTTAATCAAAATATATTATATTAATAATGAATAACAGCAGTTAAATCTTTTAAAACGAAATTTTTCATATTTTTATTAATTTTTTATCATTTATTTATCGATATGGTAAATAACTGATATATCGAAAGTTAAACATCGATCTCGGAACATACATGTCGATTCTTTGTAGAAAAAATTTAAATATGCATAGTGTAATGTATTTATATATATCCGGTTTTGCCCCACCGTTTGGTACCCGGTTTTGCCCCGCACTCCATTTTTTAACAAAATGTAAAATTCTCAGCTTATTGTTAATAATTTAACAATTACTTATAATGAAAATTATTCGTAAATAAATGCTGAAAAAGATGTTATACTTGCCGAAACGAATATATCGACACAAAAAGTTTTATAAGTGATTTACTTTCGATAAAAAATGGATTTTCTTTTGACCTAAAATTTAAAAGTCGCATAAAATATAATAAATAAATTTTTATATAGTGGTTATATAATTAAAATGATGTTGGTTGTAATATAAAAGATATATGTAATAGGCGACACAAATGAAAATACCTATCATGGAAAACTCATATTTTGAAATGCTTATTATTTAAACATTATGAATGTTTTAAAAAGACGGTTACTTCAGAATTCTCGCATTTTTTACCATATGGAACATAGAAATTTCTTTAAGTAATTGACTGTAAGTGATTGACTAAAAGTGTATTTTTAAGAGACTGATTCTTAGTTTTTTTTCTTAGTTACTAGACAGTTTCTGTGTCCGCAGATTTTTATTTTGATTGAGTCAAGATTTTCTGGCTAAAGACTTAAAAAAATCTGTAATAATTCTTTTAATAGGATTTGACAAGCTTTTCTGATGAGTGGTGGTCCAGTTTTTTTAAGTGGAATCTTGAATAATTTTTCAAGTCATTGATTACGATTCTGGTTAGTTACTTGACAGAAGTACTGATCAGAAAGGGAAACTTTTTCTGCCCAGTGAAACTGGCCAGTCACTTATTCACGACTGGACAGATTATCTTGTAAAGTAAAACTTGGTTAAAAATCCCAGTAGTAAGATTATGAATAGCAACAGCGCTACGAATATTTTAAAGCAATTATGTATATCTTAGAAAGCTATCAACAATAATATACTTTTTAAGCGAAGAAGCAAGCTGTAATCTTTTGGTTTTACTACACAACATTTTATTATTGCTTCAGGTTTGTTGATAACTTTCAAAGTTTAACGTAATTTAAAAGAATTGAAAATATTCTAAACAAATTAATTTTTAAACGGAATATTTTTTTCATTTTAAGATTTTATTTTTTTCTATGTAGGAGTTATTATTGTAGGACATTTTCATGTTTTTGGCTTTTAAATATAAACTCCTTATTATAATGACTCGAAAACTCCTGGGTAACAAGCATCAAGTGAATTGCATTAAATTTTGAAAAAGTCGTCCGACATATTGGATCCGACATCTTAAATTTTCAAAAACTAACAACGGATTCACAATCAGCCTTAACAAAAAACCCCTAGAAACAAATTTGAAGCGAATTGCATTCGATTTTAAAAAAGTCGTTCTCCATATTTGATCAACGATTTTGAATTTTGAAAAAGTAACACCGGATTCGTAATCAGCGACCCTGAAAACCCGCAAGTAACAAGTTTTAAGCGAATTGCGTTCGATTATCAAAATGGCGTCCGTCATATTGTATTCAGCACTCATTAAATTTTATTCGACTAAAAGAAATCATAATTATGAATATTGAAAACCGAACAAAAAATCCCTAAATAACAAGTTTAAAGCAAAATTTTTAAATTTTTTATTCTAGTCCGCTGTTTAAATTTTTTAAAATCTCATTGTACATTTGAAATCAGAGACTCATATAACCCTCAAGTAACAAGTTGCAAGAGTTGATCTTGATCTTCTTTTATATGAATATTTTTAAAGTTAATTGTCCCGTTATGAACGTGTCATCCCTGAAGAATTAACTTTAAAGATGATGAATTATCATTTCATATTTAAGAACAAAGGAGTGCAAGAAGTGTTAAAGATAACAAATTTTCTCAAAAAGAAATATATATTTTATGAATATAGTCATCAATTTTATTCCTTCTCGTAAGGGTAAGCCTCATGGTGCAGGTGGATATAGTTTATATAATAAGACTATAACATTAAAATCGTTACGAACTCATTACTTAAAAATGTGAGTACTTAATATTGACATGTTACAAAAAAAAACAATTTGTGTATAGATATAAATATGAATTCTTCTCATTTTGTAATTACATCAGTCTTTTAAAAACAAATATGTGGCCATTGCTGTTTTAAATTATAAAAACAAATTAACGTTTAAAAATTTAACCTCGACAACAATTGAGATATGAAAATTATTTGTGTAATAAAAAATTTTACGATCAACCATATACTGATAATGAAAAGTTTCGTTAAGATTGAAGAATTTACAATGCAATAATAAAATTTTTTATATGTTTAAAATTTAAAAACAAAATTGTTTTCATATGTAAAACGTCATTATTAGATACTTGAATCTTTTAATAATGTTTTAAGAATAAAAGTAAGATTTTAGTAATGAGATCGTTCTCTTTCAATGTGATGATGCCTCAAGGAATTACCTGCTCCACAAGGCTTCCCTTTATCGGACGAAATTGATGATTATTGTGTCTTACTTGTCCATAAGATACTGCAACTAGTACAAAGACAATTGGAAATATTTTCATCATTTTGGATTATCTGAAACAAAAAATACAAATTGGTTTTTAATATACATACATTAAATTCCAAATATACATTATGTAGGAAATTAAAAACTTATTTTTGACTAGAATTGTTTTTTCATATTTTATATTTATTATATTATTTTATATTATTATTATCATTATTATTATATTGTTTTATTATATTATTTATTATATTTATACTTTTAAAAATAAAGAAAATTATTAATTTTACAAATAATTTAATGGGAAATTTTTAATTTAGAGAGAATTTATTAATAAATTCGAATTTATACTTCAACTTGACCATTGTTTGTTTATTGTTTATTAACATAGAAATAAAAAAAACGTCAACATGGAAAATTTCACAAGAAATTATCGATCCTCTAAAAAGTTATATATATTATGCAAAATATAAAACACTTAAACGTTACTTATACTTATATCTCTTTCGTTTAATATTTATAACGTTAACAATTTTCAAGTATTTACATGATATGTGCATACTATATATTTAATAAAATCCTAGTCATAGTTTATTGTCGTTCAAACTAACATGCGTTTAAATAATTAATTATATTTTATAAGTTTTCTATGAAATTATTAATTTATTGCCAAAAAAAAATTGTCCTCATTTGACATATCATTTTTTCTCATGAATTTATTTATTTCTTTGACAAATGTAAAATGGTTAATGAATGTAAATTTAAAACTTTAAATTAATTTCCAAGGATAAAAAAAATAAAGTTTAAAACTCCATGCATCTCAAATATTATATATTTGTGTAATAATTAAAAAAAATTTAATATTATATTTATATGATTAACAGTATTAATTTGTAATACATAAAATACTATGAATTTTTTAATCCTTTACTTTGTGCAGTTAAATTTCACTTATTTTAAAGAAATATATTGAACAACTGTGTTTGTCAAATTTATGAATAACAAACCGACTTTATCGCCAAGGTTATGTGATAATCAATGAAAATAAAACCCGTTTTTAAGTAATACAAAAAAATATTATTTTCACAATTTGAATTCACAATTTTGAATATTAAACATTTAAAAAGTGAAAGGAACCTACCGATCGGTCGAGTATTCACGTATGATTGCGAACACCGTTTGACTGACTGTAGATGGAAGACTTGTACTTTTATAAGTGGCTGACATACTTGAATCACCTACCTAACCCCTACCACTTTGCAGAAAGACTTTGAATTATTATTTACTTTTAAAGGACATTTTTATATTCGATAAGATAATTTTACCATAAAATATGGGATATCAAAATCGATGCAACCTATTTTTATTAAAAACTTATAATTCGAAGAAATTGGTTTTGGTATTATTTTTATATAATAAATTTTTGGTAATTTATAAAAAAAACTTTTGTATTAACTGTGTAATTTAAAATCTAAATTTGTTACATATGCAAGGAAAACAAGTTGGAAATTCAGATGTTCATTACATGAACATTTTGCTTCCTCTTTACGATCAGTAAAAAAATTTTCTTCCTCGTGGAGAAAGCATTAACATTGAAATAAACATACAAAAATAATATAATAATAGTATAAACATTTGAGTACCTATAGATTTGAGTTAAATTTAAAGAATTAATGGAAGTTAAAAAATCAAAAATTCACATTTTAGCTGAAATTTCTGAACATTAATGAAAAATAATATATAATTATATATTTAATATATAAATTTACCTCAAATGTATACTTTATATATACCAATCGATTTGTCTTGACGTAAGGAATACGATTTTATTATATATAACCTTAAATTTTTCTATTTAAAAATTTTTTCGATTAAAAAAAATTTTTTGGAAAAAAGACGATAAAATTTTTTTTGGGTATTTTTTAAAATCCTTTGGTCAGATTTGAGATATTAATATGATAAATGAGCCTACCAAATTTTATCTAAATCCATTAAAACCTGTTAAAGTTATCGTCTAAACAAAAAAGGGATCCACACACACACACATACATACATCCGGACAATTGATTTGGATCTGATATAATATGTTTCTATATAGAAAAAAATTAATTGTTTCCGCCACTTTGAAAATTTTTATAAACGAAAGGACTACAAAGCTTCCTCCACGAGGAAGCAACAATTTAATTTGTCAGATGAAAAATTTTAATAAAAAAGCAAGTGAATAATAGATAATATGAATTTCTTCGTTTTTTAATTGTTAATAAATGTACCTTGGATAGAGATAAAATGGACCTATCGTCCGAAAACAAGTTTTCAAGAAAACAAATGTTGAAGTAAACAAGTCGATAATAATATCGTTACTCGAAAGTTTTCAGGGTCGCGGATTATAAATTTGGTATTAAATTTTTGAAATTCAAAATTGTTCAAAATAGAGAATTGAATATGACGGACTTTTTTAAGTTCTGTAAATTTACTTTAAACACGTTAATCGGGTGTTTTCGGGATCGCTAATTACGAATCCTATGTCCGTTTTTCAAAGTTCAAAATGTGGGATCCAATATGGCTGACGAAATTTTAAAACTCAAATGCAATTCGTTTTAAACTTGTTACTCGTGGGTTTTCGGGGTCGCTGATTATGAATTTGAACTAGATATTCAAAAATTAAAAATGTCGAAACCAATATAGTGGAATTAAAATTTTAAATCTTCCAATTAGTCTGAAACTTGTTACTCTGGGATTTTCATGGTCGTTAATTTTAAATATGAAGTCAGATTTTCAAATGAATTCGATGAATTTAAAAAAATTTGTCCGATACTGAGAAAAATGGTTAGTCAAAGCAACCATTTGGTTATGGGCAAAAAAAACTTTTGCTGGTATCTAAGCAACCAAATAATTTGGTTGACTTTTTTGTTGTTGTCATAACAAACATGTTTGGTTAGCTCAACCAAATTTTTTTGTTAGGTCAACAAAAATGTTTGAATGATCAAACCAACAGTTTTTTTTGTAAAATTAAAAATTTTATTCTACCTTATTTCTTTTTATTTTATCTTTTTTATTTATTTTATTATTTATTTATTATCATTTTAACGTTTAATTAATATTCATCTAATTCAAATATTTCTTGACTTTGGAAAATCTTATCTCCGCCTGGGATCGAACCTCTATTTTTAAACTGAGAGTTAGGAGCTCTCACCACTGAACTACCCATCTTTGTGAGAGATTTAAACTAATTGTTCTCTTAAAGTACGACCCCCACAGCACTGAAACTTTCCTGAAAATTTAGTAAATATTTTCTTGCAATATTTGGAATATTTAATTGCAATTTTTAGTGAAAATTGTGTAAAGATTTAAATGTCCTGATTAAATAAATGTTTAGTGTGTAACTTTCCTGAACATTTATTCAAGTGGGACATTTAAATCTTTACATAACTTTCAATAAACATTATAATTAAAGATTCCAAATATTGCAAGTAAATATTTACTAAATTTTCAGGAAAGTTTTGGTGCTGTAGGAGAAGTTAAGAGCGAATTAAATTATTTGGTTGTAATAAAATTTTGGTTAGGACAACAAACGACCATTTGATTTTTTAGACCAAACTATTTTTTTGTGTTAACCAAATTATTTTGTTGTCGTAACCAAATTTTGGTTGGAATTTAAAAATGTTCAATCAAATAATTTTGTTGGCCTAACAAAATGTTTGGTTGAGATAACTCTACGACTTTGTTTCAGCCAACCAAAATTTGGTTACAATAACCAAAATTACCTAATTAAACGATTTTGTTGTAAAACCAAATCTTTTTTTCAGTGGATATATTGGATCAATTTTTAAAAACTGACAATGCATTCGTAATAAGCGACAAAAAAAAATCCATAGATACCAAGTTTCATAAAGATCCAACAATTTTTAAAAAGAATTTGACCGCCGTATTGGATCCGCCATTTTGAATTTAAAAAATCTAACATCGGGTTCGTAATCAGCGTCCCTGAAAAAACCCCCGCGCAAAAATTTATTTTTTATGAAAAATATTACCAAGATTTCTGTTTAAAATTAATATCTGTAACCTTTTTTTGATAAAAAAATTAATTTCATTGACCAATATTTTTGATAAAAAAAATTAATTTTTTCAACAATATTTTTGATAAAATAATTCATTTTTAACCATTTTTTTTTATAGAAATAATTAATTCTTTCATTCTTTTAAAACTTAATTTTTTTTACCAATATTTTTGAAAAAAAAATAATTTTTTTAGACATATTTTCGATAAAATAATTATTTTTTCATGAATATTTCCTTTAAAAATTAATCTTTCTTTAGCCATATGTTTGAAAAAAATTTTTGCTAAAAAAATTCATTTTTTTCACCAATATTTTTTATGAAAATATTAATTTTTATGATAAAATAATCCATTTTTTTACCAATATTGCCGTTTAATTAATAAGAGTTTTGCTTTTGATTAAAAAAAAAAATAAATCTCTATTGATTTTATCGACAAATGTTGATAATAAACTGTAATAGATTGAAATTAATAAATATATTAAATTTTTAGAATTTTTTTAACAATAATCATCTTAAAATGCATAAAACTTATTGATTTTAATAATTATACTATCAATTTCATAATTTGTTATACATTTTAAACAGAATTTCAATTTCAACCTCGTGTTCCATGAATTTTCCGCGAATTTCGTGGAGCATTCGCATCGCATACAATTCGCCAGGGTTATCACAATTTTTCCATAAATCATATATATATATAAACACTAATTTACCTTTATTTTTCACTTATATATCATTTTTTTAACAATTAATCGATAAATTTTCACTCTAAGCGAAGTCGCTCAAAATACGCTTGAACCAATCCGCCAGAGCAATCCCCTTCTTAGGCAGATTTTGACCCTTCACGGGAAAAAGAGAAACATTAGACTAATACCGTTTTCCGATTGGTTCAACGTCAGTGGGCGCTGTCGGCTGTGTCTGTTAGATCAACTTACTCTTGAGAAGAGAGCATTCAACATGAAAAATCTGTTGAATCAATGCCGAAATCGTGACAGCGCCCACTGACGGTGAA